CATGGTTTTCAAAAATGGGTTGCCCTTGCCCCCTTCCTAAGGCTGAGAGGGAGTGACTGGCACAAGATTAGCTAACTGGCTTTGTGCCTAAGGCAGACTAGAACTCATAATGTGCAGTTTGGCCTCCCATTTTCTAGCCTTAACTACTAGACCAAACTGGCATATTAGAACAGTATTTTTATATGTATGTGTGTTTGTAGGTAAGTGATGTATTAGACAGATGGAAGAGGGAGGCTGGTGATGGTATCAGACGGAGTCAATTTTGCCCTTTGTGCAGAGATACCTATTCTCCACCCCCTTCACAATGTTCCAAATTTTGATCTACCAAACTCTGTAGCAACTTCAAAAGGAGCACCTTTCCCAAGTTCAACCTGGAAATATCAGCGATTAAATTTGGGACTGACATTCCAAATTTGTTCTGCATCGTGAGAATCCTTCCTGAAGAATTATGTTCATACTGTCAGATTTCAGGGAACTGCTGCTAAGACCTTTCTTGTTTCAAGAAAAAGTATGAATTCTATTTATTAATTCCAACTAGAGTCAGATTTCTGTATAGTGTAGGATAACATATTTTCCCTTCAAGTCTAACCAAATCTTTCTTTTACAGTCAGAATATTTTAAGGTTCATCTTTCACTAGAGATAAACTGTGTAATCAATATCTTGTGAAATCTATAATTGATAACTGCCTTGTAAAATCTAAAATTGCATAAGCACATAACAATTTATTAAATTCATATGCCATAACTTTGGCATGATGATCTTTCTTATTCTTCGGCTCAAGAACATCTAAATATTTTCAAAAACTTTTTGGAAAGATGAAGACAGGAAAGCAGATTTTTGAGAACACAAAAGAGACTTAGTTAGGTTAGGAAATCTGTGCTTCTGGTTTTAGTCTTATTGGATTTAAATCCTGCTGTACTAGGCAGGATACAGTATGTAATGAAATACATAGTACTTATTTCTTAGGAAAATATACAGTCATGCAAATTGCTAGATTCCTTTGGAAGATATATCTTGGGAAAAATTATTCCTATTCTTGCTTCTGAACAATTTCATTTATGCTTCCTGTAACCAGAACTTGCATATGGTAATCTTAGCTGCTAGATTAGGCATTTTTTGATTCAATTACATGCACAGAAATCTTGAAGTTAAATACAGTCCCATATCTGATTCTAAGATCTGGCAAAGGGAATAAAACAAATAATCTATGCCAATAATCAAGAAGAAAAATACTGAGCGTAAATTTTTAAATTAAAAAAAAGGAGAAAAAGAGAGACAAAAGCACAAAATGATTTTGGGTCACATTTCATGTTAGAAAATATTTTTAATTTATTAATATCATAATTACCTACTCTGTCATTATATTGGATATTTTCTTTTTTAAAAAATGCAAACAGATTATTGCATAACATTACTTCCAAATTAGCCCAGAAAGATTTGCTAACTTCAGATACAATATGAAAGTTGTATTAATGCTGAACATTAGTTTTCAGGAAAGATTTAGGCCAAATATTTTTGTGTGTGAAAAGCAGCATCCATTTCATTATCTTTGTTTGATTTTCTTAAGACAGAACAACGTTGGCAAGGGAAAGACAAGCTGGAAACATTTTGTTTGTGTATTTCTGCAGGGTGACTATTTTACCTGTATCTCAGCACGTGCAAACTAGTTTGCATAATTCTAGAGGTCTTGTAGAACATAGCTAATACTATATTATAAACAATGCTATTTATAATAATATTATAAATATCACTGAGCTATACAAAGTGTCTTTGAATAGTGTATTTATATTTCACTGATGTGGATTGATGGTATTGTGTCCATGAGAATGATAAAAAATAGGAAATATATTATATTCACAATGCAAAATACTGTCTTTTAGTTTCTGAGACAGTTCAAGCATATACAGCAGATATATAATAAAACTCAGGAATTTTTTATCGTCTAAAAGAAACAATCATGAAAAGATGAAATTCTATTTATATCTCAATACCTACTTAGTGCATTCTGCTGAGTTCACTTTTGAAAGACACACATAAGAGTGTGTGTAAACACACACACACAATGAAGACGCTATATACGCTAAATTTCTTCCTTCCATATTTGGGCCGACAGGTGCATAAAAAAAACACTCAAGACATACACACACACACACACATATACATATATACACATACACACACTCACACACACATAGGTGTGTTTGAATTTTATAAAAATACCGAAAGTTAATCCCTTGCACTCAGATACTGAGCATTAACCCTTTGAATATTTCATCCCCACCTGCAAAGACTGCAGAACACATTTACCTGACCCACATTTTTATAGCGTCCCATTAAAAATCATTTGTTTATGTGCAGTGTGATGAAAAAGAGTCGCACTCAACATAAATGGATTTAGAATGTAGTGATACATATAATGCAGATAATACAGATAATGAACTGAGCTCTATTAAGATTGTCAGGAGGAGAAGCCCACTGACATGAAGCAAGATTTTTTCCCCCCAAGAAACGAATTGTTAAGGTTAATTGAATGTGTGACATCTTTATCAACTGACGTCTAACATCCACTTAATATTGAATGTTTCAAGAATATCTTCAAAGAGGTGGTTAAAAAAACCCCCAGCTGGCGGCACAGCTATGTGATCAAAACTGGTCCTTTTTACAATGCATGTAAAAAAGGGGCAGAGTTTCAATTGTGTGGTGGTGGCCACCATTTTGATTTTGTTGATTCCTTCCCTGGTTTTTTTCTTTAAGCGTGGAATTACTGATTATTTTTCATCACGGCTCCCCACCACACCTTGAGCTGTATGGTTCTATTCATATTAAGTCACCAGTTTAAAACTGCACTGTACTTTATTTTAAATCTTAAACAGCAACTATACAGTAATTCTCTTATTCATGTTTATTAGTGCAATGTGTTCAGATATTCATAGACTTTTCTCCCCCCCTAAAAAAATAATAAAAACAAAACTTTTTTGCTGAAAGTTCATGAACAGAGAGTAATGTTGGCCCTAGAGATTACTAGATCTGAACAGAATAAATCAGTGAAGGGTCAAATATGTATAGAAATATAAAGGCAATCCCATTTTTGTTTTAGCAATGGATTAAAAAGGCGTGACAAAGAAGGTGATTTCATCCCAAATACAGCATAATTTAAACATCTGCTCTTAAGTGATATTTCATTATAGTGAAGTCCTATATGCATTTCCTTAGCAATGAGGGCCAGGGGTTTGCTTAGAATGACCATCAAAGTCACAAAGCTTTTACTAGTTACTCTTGGACTGGACTGCTATGATGATGATGATCATTGCATAACAATGCACATATAAATCTTCCCTCCAATCTGGAAATATTGTCAGGAAACAATCCAATCAAAGTTAAGCACTTTGGGTTTCAGTGTTGAAAAAAATGCAATCCAGTACTCAGATTATGTCTTGTTCATTGACATCAATGCATTTTCAAAGTGCTTAGCTCGGGCTGCTGATGCCCTACTTTATTTCTTAAGTGAATAATTGCAATCCTCAAAGAGTTAATGGGAAAGCACTACTTTGCCTTGATTGATGACGATAGGGCTACTCGCAGGTTAATTCCCAAAGGCAAATGGACCAAAGAGTGAAACTGGTGGAGAGACAGCTACTAGAGACATACACAGTGCCACATTCAATGGGACATGCTTTGCGGAGACATTAGAGTGCACCCTTATCAAAGCAATCTTTTAACCTCGTAGAAAGGATTGTGCCACTTAAAGGGGTGCAGAAGATACGTTTCCCTTTTTTCTTTTCGTAGAGTCAAAATGCTCTAGATTAATACCAACATGGATAGGTCGCAGCCTTTTACAATAGGGTATTTTTTTCCTTTGTACATATGCAACATTAGAAAACAACAAATGGCATTATCCTGACAGATGTCATGCAGAAATTAAAAATATTATTATTAACAATAATCTTAACAACAAAAAAGAAATACAACCAGTACAGCACTGTAGATGTTAACGTAGGACTTTACCTAGTGTTTCTTTCCAAAGAGAAAGAAGACAGAACAGTGACATATACACTACATGGTTTCACACGCCATAGGCTACAGAAGCTCTTTAGAGGCAGTATTGTTTTTATAGGCCTAAAAAGCTGTGTTAGGCTGGTTATAAAATCCTTTCTTTTTCTGCTGACTTCAAAAATTAATAGAAAACCATTTGTGTTGCAAAAATAATCAAGGAAAGGTGGTGATACTGATATGTGTAGAAAAGTATCTGATGTCGATACAGATTAAAAAAATAAAAGGAAAACAATACCACATTACATAATATAGGAAGTCCTTGACTTATACTTTTTGTTTAACAATGGTTCAAAGATAAGTGGCCTGGAAAAAGTAACTTATGATTTGTACTTTCATCTACCACTCTTGCATTGAGTGCTTGGCAACTAACTCACATTTATAACCAGTTGCCACATCCTGCTGTTATGTAATTTGGGGCAAAATAAACCCCCGTCCACTGAAGAAGCTAGATTCTTCAGTGGGAGTTGCTTAACAATTGCAGTGATTCACAATGACCATCATAAAAATTGTCGTAAAATTGGGTCCAACCCTACTTATGACTACAGCAACATACGACAGAAATTCCAATCTCAGTTGTGGTCATAAGTCAAGGACTACCTGTAGTAACAAACACCTCTAGGTCTGCTTCCTAGATTTACATTTTCGTTCTTCCTTGAACATTGTTCTATCATTCTTTTAAAAATAATTTCAAGACTGCCCCTGCTTTTTAAAAGCCTTATTAAGAAAAAAAAATAGGTTGAAAACCTGTACAGTTATTTTATGTGCTACACAAACACGTAGAATCTTATTCAGTTTAGAAGGAAAACAAAGACCAACAGTACAAACCTACCTAGGTCTACTCAGAAGTAAGCCCACTGAATTTAATTGGGCTTACTCCCAAATTGCTGTATATAGGTTTGCAGTCTAAGATGCTTTGAGCTGCAAGTCGAGAAATGTGGCCTACCAACTACACAGTAGTTTCATTCTTCCATGGCCCTGTTTTGATATTTCCTGTACTATCTGAACTGTAGATCATGGCTTCATGCAGGTTTCCCTTTAGAATTCCATTGTGGCTGGTTGTGCTGAAGGGCAAGGATTGTGTCCGTGGATGCATTTCAAAATGGGGGCCTGTCTCAGTTTCTGGGAGTTTAGCACAACTATAGATCACAGTACTTGCATCACTACTTTCAGGCTGAGTGATGGTTGGATAGGGACTGTTTTTTGCACAACATGGCCGCCTGTGGCCCGAGTGACGGTCATGTGTACTGTGTGGACTGTCTGTATGTGAACTGTGTATACTGCCATCAATACTTGAAGGAATGTGGTAAGCATACTCCCTTTCTCCTGCAGATCGATGTCGGCTGAAATATCGTGGTTTAGTTCTACTTTTCAAACATCTGTGAATGTGCATGTTGGGTCTGAAAGTCCCTTCGTTGTGTACATGAATATGAGCTTCATCTTCCAGGAGCTGATCACAATGCATTTTTGCACAACACGGTGTGACTGGTGAAAGGCAGTTGACGTGGTTTTGAACAGCCTGTAGATTGGTGAGCTTGCAATGACTAATGGCTGGGTGATTAAAAACAGCTGATTTACCTGGGCACGGTGAGTCTTGAAGGCATGAGGCATGAGCTTGGCTTTCACCGTTGACATTAACTTTTGGACGGACGTTGACTTGCACCGAGTACGTGTTTCTTCGAGAAGGGCAACAAGACCACCAACAATGCCACACATCATCTCGCTTGGCACAGTGATGGATGAGGATGAAGAGTCCTAAGGTTACACAAAATGCTCCATACAGGCAACTAAATATCATATCCAAGAAATGTCCTTGGGAAACAGCCAGGGCACCAAAAGTCCAGGTGGCAGTAAACAGAAACAAAGTGAATGCAGCAGCTCGAAGCTGAGCCTTGAAGGAGTGCTCATTTTCCAACAAGGATGAAGACATCATTGAACAGGTTGCCTGGGAAACTGATCCAAGGTCTGTCAGGTGACTATGGCCAAGTTCAGGACTTGCCAACCTCTGCTGATCTTCTATCCTTTCCTTTAATTCATACTTGCGTTCTGGATGACGCCTTAATTGCACATAGGTGCAGAGGAAGTAAATGCACGTTACCAGAACAATGAATGCAAGTGGTCCATAAAATGCACCAAGGCTTGGCTCCCATGACATCCAACAACTATACATCAGGGTAGGGTGAACGGTGGAATAGAGTTTAAAAAAAAAAGAAAGAAATCAAATTAATAATATGGAAGACAAATTATCTGCTAATGCAAAATAAAGACATTTATAATAAACTGCAAATTGTTTAGAAAAAATATGTCCTCTACAAAAATGGGACTTACATATGTACAGTGAAGGTAATTGCAGGTAGTCCTCTACTTACTTAAACCATTCATTTAGCAACTATTCAAAGTTAAAATGTCACTGAAAAAAGTGACTTATAACCGGTCCTTGCACTGTACAACTGTTGCAGCATCCCCATGGTTACATGATCAAAATTTGGGCACTTGGAACTAGCACGTATTTACAACACTTGCAGTGTCCTGGATTCACATGATCGCCATTTGTGACTTTCCAAATGGGCTTCTGACAAGCAAAGTTAATGGAGGACGTCTCAAAGGTGCTTTTTCAAAAGGCAACTGTTTTTTCCTTGAGGAAGACATTTCGCTTCTCATCCAAGAAGCTTCTGCAGTTCTGACTGAATGTTGACGGCAGGGGTGGAAATGGAAGGATTTATATTCCTTTACAGCAGGGGTGTCAAACTCAATTTCATTGAGGGCCGCATCAGCATTGCGGTTGCCCTCAGGGGGCTGGGTGGGTGTGGCCAAGGTGGGTGTGGCCTACTGGGTGAGTGTGGATGGAGTGGGTGCAGCCTACTGGGTGGGTGTGGATGGAGTGGGTGTGGCCTACTGGGTGGGTGTGGCCAGCTCTACATCGTTCACGTCAAGGGGGCCTGTGGGGGCCTGGGCAGGAGTGGGATAGATCTGAGGGTCTCTGGCAGAAGGGGGTTGGACCAGGGCAAGTGCCAAGGCATGGTCCACTGGAGGAGCCTCACTGTTCCTCTCAGGTCATGCGGGGGGGGGGGCTTATGGAGCTAAGACTGAATGCGTTTCAGCATAGATGGCCACCACAAAATTGTACATTGGCTCCCAGCTGGTCTGGGCCAGGGCCAAGGCAGAGGGGGCCATTCCCTTACTGTTTCCAAGATGGCTTTGTGGGCCACATGAAACCACTTCGTGGGCCGCATCCGGCCCCTGGGCCTTGTGTTTGACATGTCTGCTTTACAGTCATCTGGTCATTAGCACTCTGTCTGAGAGCCGTTTATCTGTGCCATCAGGGTCACTTGAACCACCTGTCTCCTGTTTACAACACAGTCCTTTCAGCAGTTCCAAGAAGATTCCACACCTATTTGCAGGTGACACTGACGGCATAGATAAACCCCCAAATGGCCTCAACGGCTTTCAGAGAGAATGCTAACAACCGGATGACTGCAAAGGAAAATAAACCCTTCCATATCCACCACCACTCCCATTCAGTCAGAACTGAAGAAGCTTTTTGGATGAGAAGCGAAACGTCTTCAAAGAGAAAAAGGAAAGTCCAGTTGCCTTTTGAAAAAGCACCTTTGAGATAATCATGATATGGAGAACTAAGAATCTCCATAGTCAATGGGGGGGGGAGTGGGATTTGCTTAATGACTGCAGGATTCACTTAAGAACAGCAATATTTGCTTAACAACCATGGCAAAAGGTAATAAATTCAGGCACGATTCAGTTAGCCACCTTGCTTGGCAATGAAAATTTGGGTCCCAATTCTAGTTGTAAGTCTAGGACTATCTGTAACACCTATTTGGTTTTTACCCATAGCACAGCTTTTAAAACAGACGTTTTAAGTAATATTTTTGATAGGATCTCAGCCTACTGCAGAGGTCCCCCAGTGAGCTCAGTGGCTGAGGTAAATGTGAAACTCCTTTTAATCTCCATCTCACACTGGCTCTCATATCATACAAGAAAATAAGTTTCTATTAAAGCTCTCTAGATACCAAATGCAATACTCTGGTTTTGAAACACAGCTAATAAAATTACCTTGCAGTGTATTGTCAAATCTGAGTGCATACACAGAGAAAAATTGTGGATGTTTAGGGATTCACTCACTCATAGGTATCCGATACAAACTACAATGATAAAACGATGATGAAATGTGCATTGCAACATTATAACACTAACTCTATCCTTTCACAATGTCCCTTACATTGGACACAGGTATGGCTGGCATGTGGTTTATACTGCAACACACACTTTGTCACTTGCACCCCTTCCCTCTCCCCTCCCTACATCCCCACTTGTTGATTCCAATTAAAAGAAAAAAAGATGGGAAAGGGGGCTTACTTAGAGCCACTAGTATAGACATTTTTTTGTCAGTGTGTTTGCTGAAATCTCTCTTTACTCCTTTTGGGTAGGGAAGTGGAGGAAGCAGACTCTTCTCAGCTAATGTAAAGGAGGGGAGCAGTTAACATACATGAACCTGGAAGAACAAAAGCCTTTATCCACCAACCCAGTGCCCACAGCTGGATAAAGTAATATATGAATTTAAATAATCATTTAAAGGTAGTCCTCAACCTACAACTGTAATTAAACCCAAAATTATGGTCATAAGTTTGTTGCAGTTGTAAGCTGAAGCACCACATGACTCCACTTGATTTTTTTTGGGGGGGGGACTTTTTTGTGGTATTTGTTTAGCAAATGCAGTGGTCATTGAGCAAATGCTGCAGTTTTTAAGCAACCCCATTTTTCTGGAAACAGTGGAACTGGCAAAAAAAGTTGTGAATTGCACTCAGGTTACCCTGAGATGCTTGCGAATGGCTGCAAAGGCAAATTTGTGGGGCAGGTGTGGCCATCATATCTTTGAAAACAGGCTGTAAGTAATTTTGGGGAGATCCCTCCTAACTTCGAATGGACATTAAGTGACTGGTTGTAAGTTGAGGACCACCTGTAAACATCTCCACTAGGGAAGAATAGGGAGTGAGTGGCTGTCCTGGAGTGGGCCTTTTCAGTGGTAGCCCCCTAACTTTAGGATGACCTCCATAGTTAGGGTACAATGATACAATCTGTACTGTTATTACAGTGCTGGGCAACATATTCTTCTTCTTAAGAGCCAGGCCTAAAAATTCATATGCTGCAAGACTATGAAAATAATTCATAATTACAGATAATCCTCAACTTACGACCACTATAGAGGCCAACATTTATGTTGCTAAGAGAAGTGAAGTTTTGCCACAGTTTACAACTTTTATTGTCACATTTGTTAAGTGGATCACTGCAGTTGTTAAATTAGTAACATGGTTCTTAAGTGAATCTGGTTTCCCCTTTCACTTTGCTTGTCAGGAGGTTGCAGAAGAGGATCACGTGGCCCCGGGGCACTGCAACTGTCATAAATAAGCTAAGCGACCGAATTTTGACCATGAGGATGCTGCAATGGTAGTAAGTGTGAAAAATGATCATAAGTCACATTTTTCAGTGTCATTTTAACTTCAAACAGTCACTAAACGAACTGCACTACCTGTTTCTTCCTTATTCCTGTTGTGGTGGTTTTCCTTAGTTTTATTCCAGGGACTCTTGAGTATAGGTTTTTTCCTCCCCCAAATATCCTGAGCAGCCACTTACAGAGGCTCTGCTTTCCAGGCAGTAGGATGAACAAGGGGATAAATTCTGAGCTGCTTCAGTAGATGCTCACATGTACCTTTCAGGTTGTGCGATGCAGCCTTATTTGAATTTCTCTGCTCTCAAGCGCTTCTCAGTAACACATAAAATATTAACAGCTTCCTCTGATTCCTCAGAACAGTTTGCTTGATTTGTGAAAAAACAAAACAAAACCTTCCCTCAGACAATCTCTAGATATCCCAAAAGTCTTTCAAGAGCTGCACAGCATATAGCAAGTAAAATGAAGTGAGAGCCAATGGAATTGTCCCCTTCGCTGGGTGGTGGTATCTTCAAAATGGTCTTTATCACAGGCCACTTCAAAACTTAGCTCCGTAAAAACACACTGAAGTTAGAATGTCTACATTTGTATGTCGTGTTGTGAAAAATGAATAAGGCATACACTACACTGTGCTGTGATTTAGTCTACCTCTTTCTCCCCTGAGCAATTTTACCCCTCCACCTGCTTCCTGGTTTTCTACTCATATTGTGATATCTAGTATTGATTGCCTGTGATTAAAGTGATTAAACTAAAGTAGCACAACTTCTGTAAAAGTGCTGGCAGGAAAGTCTCCCACAAATTTATGAACATAAATAATCAGATCTTTTAACATCCTGTTGATTATAAGTGATTGTCTAATCACACGTGATGGAATAAATAGGTTTTAATAGGATAGAACTTCCAGAAGAGTTTTGCCAGGGTTCTTCATTTTTCTAATGTATTTCTCAAATGAAATTTCCTAAAAGTATTTTCATGAAGGAAAAACAGAGTTTGCTTTACTTCCTCCACTTTTCTACAAATATGGGAACACCAAATCTGCCAGGACATTAATTGAAATGCTTTCCTTAAATGCTATCAAAATATTGTAATACACAATTTATTAATGCCTCTTTAGTACTTTTTAGTACTCCGTTAAATCAATGCATTTAGAAGAAATCAGTAGATTTCGAAACAGGTGTGTGTCCCCTCATGCATTTATATATTTACTTTAGAAACATTAAAAACCATAATTGAGGGTTTTTAGGCTGTGTGCAGAGTATAATACGTAATGTTATAAAATGACAAAAACCACATGCTGATGGGCAGTCACTAACTGGACAGGGATCCTGGATTAGGTGCTATGGTTCCAGACTGAAAGTTATTTAATCATGACTTACTCTTAGAGGAAATAACAGTGGCATCATACATGGAAAATAAACGGATATACTTACAACTGAGCTCCGGCGTAACTTTTTATCCCATAATTATTTATGTTGGTTGCTGCAGTAATTCCACAGATAATAAAAGGAACTCCTCCACTAATCAGATAGAACCTGTTTCAAAGACAATTATTTGACAGGTGAATTTGCTTGGCATCAGGTAAAGATTTTTAATATTTGAAACAAGAGTATTTGAAAGCAGAATGCAATTCATCAGTTTCAAACCCATTAAAACTGGAAATAAAACAAACTGAAAACACAATGTGATGATCTAGGACAGTGGTGGCGAACCTATGGCACGCATGCCAGAGGCAGCACTCAGAGTGCCACCGCCGCCAGCAGCAGGTCCATCAGGCTGTCCCCGCCGCCCAGAGTAGGAGCCCCACCCAGCACAAAGGAGGCAAAGCGGCTGACTAGCAAGCTTGAGTACAAGTGGTAGAGTAGAGATCACCAACCATTGTCGATTGGTGGACTGGAAGAAAAGGGAAGGGGAAGCATTTTACATGCGTGCACGCGTGCACAGGGCCGCGAGCACACACACGCTGCAAATGGGGTGGAGCTAGTGCCTGTGTGATACTCACTATCCCTGCCCCATTCTTATGTAGTGCAGCGCCTTGTATCTGCACTCTGCGGCATAGTGGTGGCCGTTTTTGCGCCTTGCAGCACGGTGGCCCATTTTTGTGCCCCTGGTTTTTGTGTGCCAGAAGTGGCACTCAGAGGTGCTTCCCTGCCCCCCCGAAGGCACCACAATGCTGATGCGGCCCTGGTACTTTGCAATAAATAAGTGGGTTTTGGGTTGCGGTTTGGGCACTCGGTCTCTAAAAGGTTCGCCATCACTGATCTAGGAAGTAAAATATTTAAATTTAGAGACACATAGTTTAGAATTTCAGTGTGAAATGCATTCAAAACTGGGACATTTCAATAAAAATGTATTTTCATTTAACCATGGATACAACCCTCCAGTAAGGAAAAAAAAATGAAAATCCCAACATTCCAGTTTTAAAAATGAAAGATGTTTTCAAACAAAAAGGAATTACTATTGGTGAAGATTTTTGTTTAAATACAGAAGATAAAATAATTTTATTCTGAAAAATTAGCCGAACCACAATTTCAAGCAGAATGGCCATATGTATTATGTGTGACACGTATTATTATTCAACTTCTAATATATTAAAAAGTATAACCTTGCAAAAGGCCTATTAAATTAAGCCATTATCCTTTGTAAACGTGGCAACATCTTCTCTATTCCCAATCTAGAACCTGAGCTAATGAGACAAAAATATATCACATACAGGCTTTGGACAAACCATTGTTTTGTTTCATGTTGGAAAAAATCAGAAGTTCTGTAATTAATGTGCTAGAACCCTAGATGACAAACCTGAACCCATGAGATTCCAATCTTGAACTTTCCCTTTGTAAATATTAGTGCACAACAAAACTTTTGACAGCAGATATGGGAACTGGTGCTCTAAACCAGGGGTCCTCAACCTTGGCAACTTTAAGACTTGTGGACTTCAACTCCCAGAATTCCTCAGCCAGCAAAGCCAACAATATTGTTCTGTCCCAAAGAGATGTAGAGAACAAGAAGGAGGCATATTGCCAAGCTAAAACATCTGTTCAATAGAGATGCTAAAAGCTAGAACAATCCAAAGCCAAGAATACAAAATAAAGATGGCAAACAGGAGAGAAAAGTGTGAGCACTACGTAGGGCAACGTTGGTATAGTCATATGCCCTATATATATAGTGGAAAAAATCTATTTAGCATTATACGTAATTCAGAAATTCTGCATACAGGGTTTAGGAAAAGAACCTTCTCTGCCATTGCCCCCACCCTATAGAACAGCTTGTTCCCAGAAGCAAGGGAGGCCCCTCCCCCACTATTCCAGAAGAGCACAAAGACCTGGCTCTGCCAACTGGCCTACGGTTCTAAGCGTGCCTCGCAACCCTGGAGGTGGTTGGTGGGCTGAAGGCACTTCTGCCTTTTAACTCTGCAATTGTTCTTTTTAAACTTTGTATTCAATCTGGGTTTTAACTTTGTTTTTAATTACAGCTTTCATATGATTTTACTGTCTTATCTGTAAACTGCTCAGAGTCACACCAATGTGATGTGCAGTATAGAAATTTGATAAAATAAATAAATTATGATAAGCATGTTGCCTCCAGCCACTGTCTTGGCCTCTGCTGATCCTGGCTGCCTGGAACACTTAGCAGCTGGCCCAGGCTTAGTTGGTATTCATTGTGGCAATGAGAAGGCTATATCTCTCAAGGTTTTCTTCTTAAAATGTCCTTATGTGCTTTTTGAAAAGGAAAATTAGAGCAGTGTCTCCAAACTAACCAGAAGGGAAGTCCAGAAGAATAAACACTGCTTGGGAGCAGGTATAGCTAGTCCTCGACTTACGAATGCAATGGAGCCTGCCCATTCCATTCGTAACTCGAGGATTTATAGGAGTGAGTCTTGTACTTTGAACGCGATTCACTCCCAGCTTTTGCCCATGCATTCGCTAATTTAATGCATGGGCGAATGCACAGCTCGTTAAGTGAACATGAGGTATCTCAGGGTGGGGAAGGCCATGGGGGACCTAGTTATGGAACAGGCCACCAGCTTGAGACTACCCCCCCCAAGATACTTCATGCTCCCTCCCCTGGGATCCCCACAATTGCTCCCCTGCCCAATCCTACCATGCTGGGTCACTTACCTTGTGAAGATCTGTCTCCTCTCCAGCCTCTTTGTTTCTTTCTCTACTCCTGGCAAGAGCAGAGGGAGGCCTCCTAGGCCCAGAACAGATCTCTGGAAGCATGTGGCCACCACCCATGGCCTCCGTTCTGGGCCTCGGAGGCCTGGAGGAGGCCTTGGAGGCCCAGAATGGGCCTCCAGAGGGCTGCGGAAGCATTTCCGGCCTCCTTTATAGATGGCAGCGACCCGGAAAAGGCCTCCAATGCCCATATCGGGCCTCCAGAGGTCAGCTGAAGCCTCCCCTGGCATCCTTTCTGGGTGGCAGAAGTCCGGAAAAGGCCATTGAAGCCTGGATTGGGCCTCCAGAAGCTACCCCTGGTCTCCTTTCCGGGTGGCAGCAGTCCGGAAAAGGCCTCCAATGCCCAGATTGCGGCTCTAGAGGCACATGGAAGCATTCCCTGGCCTCCTTTCTGGGTGGTAGCGGCCCAGAAAAGGCATCCAATGCCTGGATCAGGCCTTCAGAGGTCCGCAGAAACGTTTCCAGGCTCCTTTCTGGGTGGCAGTGGCATAGTAAAGGCCTCTGACACCCGGATTGGGGTCCCAGAGGCATGCACAAACCTCCCCTGGCTTTTGTTTCATTTTCTGTTGCAGAGAACAGAAGCCTAAACTACTGTGAGATCACGTGAGATAAGCAGTGTGAGATCTCATGCCACTGATCTCATGTGATCTTGCATTACTTTAGGCCTCCATTCTCTGTGAATGCAGCAAAGGCATGGAGCAGCCAAGAAAGTGAAGGATCTCTCAATCTTCGCAAGGTAGGTATCCATAGGCCTAGTGCCTAGAGAGATCTGGGGTGGAGGGTGCAGGGAGGGAATAGCCAGGGTGAATGTTGCAGTGCAACTGTGGTTGTTCGTAAGAGTGAACAACCGCCACGGTGCGGCAACATTCGTAATTTTGGGACTTTTTCATAAACACTAGGGGGTGCTTATCACGTAACTTCAAATGCTTGCTAAGGGAACGCTCATAACTCAGGGATTACCTATACCATACGAAATATATAGCAGAGAAGGGATGCTAGATAAAAAGGAATGTAGAAAATGCACTGTGCATGTCTATGTCAGAAAAGCTGGATTACATGATATATTTACTCATTATGCTGACATAAACTAAATATTATTTATGTTGTATAAAAAAGTTTTAATAATTAAGCAGCCTTGCCGTTTCTTTTGCTACTTACATACACAATAAATAATAGTGAAAAACAGGATGTTGACACTAGTTACTTCTTAGAATCAAACCCATCTAGGAGTATGTAATGTATATTAGTAACTGTTATAATTAAACAGTGAATTATTGTCAGGCCCTATCATAAGCAGAACAAATTTCCTAGGAAACACATATTTTTTCAATAAAACACCCATCTTAGTGTAAATTCCCTACAATCAACGCTGTATAGAAATGACTCTGATTGAAAGAAGCTCTAGAGAGGTGATGCGCAATCTAACACTTCAACAACCCTTGAAAGAACAAAAGTCCACCTTTCCCATGAATGACAATTCTATGTTACATACATTTTGCTATTAAAATTAATTAAAAATTGCATCTCTTTGCCAGCAACTCTCTCCCACCTTTGATTTTATTATCACCGAAAAGCTGCTGCTAATTCAAGTCAGACATATTTTCCTCAAGGCTTACCCAAGTGATTAATCACCCCTTTTCTTCTCTGCATTGTGAGATCTGTGTTCACTCAGAAGAACCAAGAAAAACAAATACGGTAGTGGAGGGAGAAGTTGAGGGGCAAACCTTTCCTCTCGCTTATTGTCAACAGGATCATGGAAAAAATAAATCCTTCGTTGGCAATGCTCTGGAACTCATGCAGCAGCACTTTCCCTGCTAAGCTCAAATGAGTCAGAGTGCAGAAGAACTAGTGGTTTATGGCAGGGGTCCCCAACCCCCGGTCCGTGGACCAGTACCGGGCCGCGGCAGGCCAGCAACCGGGCCGCACAAACAAGCAAAGCCCCATCCATGGGATGCAGGCAGCACAGAAAACCACGCCCCCCTCCAGTCTGCGGAAAAACCTCTCTCCAAGTAACCGGTGCCTGGTGCCCAAAAGGTTGGGGACCTCTGATTTACGGAGATCCAGATCATGGTTGTCCCAAACGTGCTTTTTCAAAAGGCAACTGGACTTTTGTTTTTCCTTGAAGACATTTTGCTTCTTATACAAGAAGCTTTTTCAGTTCTGACTTGGATAAGAAGTGAAATGTCCTACTTGTCCAGGTCAGTCATTTCCTCTTCTCATCTACTTGATGAGACCTATCCTGTTGACAATAAGCAAGAGGAGAGGAAAGTTTTCCCCTCAACTTCTCCCTCCAGTGTTTTTTTTTCTTGGTTCTTCTAAGTCAAGGGTCTTCAAACTTGGCCCTTTTATGACTTGTGGAC